TTTAAATATTCCATTAAGATACCGGAAAACAGTGCCAAAGGAGAGAGAGAATTATTACCAGCCACAAAAAAAGAGAAAAGATGAGGTGCATACAAACAATTGATATTTGTGTTGAGATGGAAGGCTGATATTAAGTATATACTTCACTTTTTGTTTATTTTTATTTAATGAGCATACACATAATGCTTTTAGGGCCAGGGATTTAACTCAGAGGTTCGGCGGCCTGCCTCGCAAGCGCAAGGACCCGAGTTCCATCCCCAGTACAAAAAAAAAACAAAACTGAATAATGCTTTTATCACATCAAAGAAAAGCTACTAGCTAATATCAAAGATCTATAAAGGAAAAAATTTAACAATCGTCTTTCAAAAAAAATCTATCTAATGTATATAAATATATGTTTGAATCATTTTATACTAATGTTGCCCAATTAGTGAAATTGGTAGACCTCATTCACAAGGGTTTAACAGTTGCTTGTTTTGCTCAACATTACCATAGTGTAAAGTCAATTCTAATTTCATGTTACAAATACGGGATAAGAGTTTATTTAAAAGAAAGAGTTTATTTTCATAAAGTAGCATGCCTTTCTGACAGTATAATATCAAAATAACTAAGTACATTTTTCATATTTTGCTTGTGCTTCACATCTTTGAAGTTTAGTAAATAAATAGGATGGGAATAATTATTGCCACTTTATAGCAGCTACATGAGGCATTTTGAGGTCACACTAATTTGCCCAAAGTCATAGATTTAGTTAGTGGGGAAGATTACATTCAAATACAAGATACCTGATTCCTACAGTAAAATGCCCTCCGTGAAATCTGTCCTTCAAGAAGCGGCAAAAATACCCTCTCCTCTGCAGAGGAAAGTTGAAGTGCTCCTCCTCATTCCTTGCCAACACTGTATGCATATTTCCAATATAATCCTCATTAAGTTGGATCTGCATGCAAATTTAAGGATAGGCTTAGAGTATAGATTAATATCAAACTGATCTTGCACTAAATTAGAAGCCAGGGTTCTAAAACTATTAAAGTAGCTTTAAAAAGAAACAAAACTTCTTGAAAAGGAAAGTGAACATGCCATATTAAATAAGAAGAAAAATGAACACTAAATACAGAATTATAGAAGAACTGAGTAGAGATTAAAAGTTTGAGTATCAACACAAGAATATATTATATGTAGCCATTTTTATTTTTCTATACCAGCTGAGGGATCTAGTGGGGCACTTTATTTAGCATATTAACATATCTTAGGAACCAAATGAATTATTTGTCAGAAAGAATTATCTGGAAAGAAATTACTAAGCTCAGTGCTGCATATCTTTGTGGATATTGCCACACCAAAATTAATTACAACTATTAATAATGTTTTACTCTAGGGATGTTTCTTCTGCTTCCAAAATAAGTCATCCTGCATTCTGGCTGCTAGTAATCTTTATTTTTCTTGAATCTGACTCTATATCTTAAAAAGCATGGAATTAATGATAACTCTGGTTCAAACATTTTAGAATAGTAATGCAACCACTAAAAAACTGGAATGCAAAAAAAATATTTATATAGTTTATCAGGATAAACAAGAAGCAAGTGTCTTTGAAAGAGTGTAGTATCTGGTAGTATTTCTCATCTAGAGATGTCTATTAATAATTCCATGCATATTAATGGGAGCTTCTGTTTACGTAACAAAAAATAGCTATACTTGATATGGAATTATAAAATGACCATCTATCATAGCTGAGTGTAACTGGTCGAATTTAGTTAGTTGCTGCCTGGAATATTAGACTTCACATAAATGAAACAAGTTATTTTTCTGTGATCTTTTTCTCTTCTTTGCCAACAGATCCTATATTTGAGCAAATAGCATAAGCATTATGTTTGATACTAAAATGAGTGTGTCAAAAAGCACATCATCTGAAGTGAGTCATTTTCTCAGAGGTCTACGAAGGTGTAAAGATACATGGCTGGGGTACCTGGGGCTCCTTCTATGTTTAGTCAGATTACTGGAAGGTTCACTGTGCTCAGCTCTGCATTCTGGACAACCACATTCCTTAATGCTGATCAAGAAAAGGCTTCAGGAGTAGCAAAATGGTGGCTTTTCCCTTTTGAATGTCCGATCTCAAATTTGGGGACTCACTTCTATCTACACAGATGTCATATCGCTGTAGTTCCATAGGTACATCTTAGACCAGAGATTTCTGTGAGAATGATGCTACTAACAAACTATTTCCTGACACTTTCAGAGGTAATAATTGCTACCGTGTTTATAATGTGAATGGTGTTGCAATCACAGGGTGGGGAAAGCCAGATGTAGAACAGAGTGTATTCAATTGTCTGACTTTGGGCTGAGGTCTGTGAACCGATGAGAAGGGATCATCGAAAGGTGGTAGACACATCTGGGAGATAGCAAGATAGCAAAACTGGTCAAGACATTTTCAGTGCTAGGTACTTACTTCTAATCATTATGAGGCATTTTCTATCTCTTTATTGATGTATCTATTTATCGATGTATTTATCTATGTCATTAGCTAATTTCTTTATTTTGTAGTACAGTGAAATGATCCTAGGAGCTCTCTTCCACTGAGCTCTATCCTTCACCCTTTTTACTTTGAGACAAGGTTTCACTAAGATGCCCAGGATGATCTTGAACTTGCAATCCTTCAGCCTCAGCCTCCCAAGAACCTGGGCTTACAGTGTGTACCAGTGACACTGAGGAGAGACATTTAGAAAATTGAAATTATAAGGAATCAGGGAGTTGGGCAGTTCTTTACCTAGGATAGAAGGCTGTGGTGCTATCCTGTCATACCCCCTTATGGAAAAAGAAGAAATGTTATTCCAACTTCCAGTCTGACAAGAGGAGGTTCTGAGAGATACAGTACTGAAGATTTGGAAGGAACTAGGATATTTATGAATATATAGAAAGTAGGCCAGCATTCTGCCAAATGGCCAGAGCTAGTGTTATAAGAGAACACTTCAGAAAACTGTACTTGTGTCCCTTGGAGTCGAGGAATACATATGTCCCTAGAGATGCCTTGCTTTCATCCAATTTTGAGGGTAGGCACTTGTCAGAAGCATTCTGAAATGGCCAGAAAACAGAATAAGGGGGAAGGTGAGTAGCTTCACAAGAAATATCTTGAAGATTCCTAATAGAGCAGTGGCTTTGAAGGTTGGTAACAGAGCCCAGACTGGGAGGCTTTCTGCAATTGAACTGGAATGGCTAAGAATAACTGGTAGCCACACCAGGATGACAGACACATGCTCCTTTCCTTCTAAGGTGATCCCCACTGCTGCCTGTCTTTGAAAAATGCCTGAAGTCCAGCCACATCACGCCTACCTCCCACATACATTTTACTAGTAAGAAAGATTACGTCTTCACTGCCAAAAAAGGCGACTAGTCAATTATATGTGAAACTGGCATATTGATAGTAATATAAGCCAACATTTTAAACTCTAAAACTGAATCATAACATCCTCATTTTTTTGGTAGCTAAAATATCAAACAAGACCTCAACCCATATTATAGTTCAGGAGAGTTGACACAGTAGAATTGAAAAGCACGGTAAGAAAAAGATAAAATTATTTTCTATTTGCCCGTTCATCACATTTCACTTGTTACACTCACTGCATGAGTGCCAGTTAATCTCCACAACAACAGTGCGCAATAATATCATTCATCGCTTTACAGATAAAGATTTTGAGGATGTGGGGAGCCAGCAAAGAAATGGGATTAAACCACTTATGGGTAGATCTAATAATTCAGCTTTAGTGTATAGGATTCAGCACTATTCATGGAGCGTTTCTGGAGTGATAGAAATACTTGTGTCCACTATCCAATTAGACACGCACTAAGCATAGTTGCTACTGTGTACTCAAAATTGGGTTAGTGATGGCTAAGAAAGTGGGCATTTACTTGTGTTTATTTGAAGTTATTTGGATTTCAACAGTGACGTGTGACTGGTGGCGGCCGCACTGGACAGTGTTCAGTTAGTCGCCTTATATGTTCGCTGCTCTTTCCCCTTCCTTCCTTGCTTGCTTCCTTTTTTTTTACTTCTTCCTTTTAATTTTTATTTTTTTGTCAGTACTGAGGATTGAACCCAGGACATCAGGAATACTAAGTACTCTGTAAATCCACCACTGAGCTCTACCCTCAGCCCTTGTCATTTTATCTTTGATATCTATTTATTTATGATAGTGTTTGTCATAGAGCCAGCATCCTCTCACTGAGCTACGTAATGAATTCTATGTTATTTACGTATTTATCTATTCATTGGAGACAGGTTCTTGTGAGTTGCTCACACTAGTCTCAAACTTGCCATCTTTCTGTCTCAGCCTCCTGCGTCGCTGTGATTACAAGTATGGGCCACTGTGCCCAGCCACTGATATTATTTCTGCAGATCACGGGATGTGCTAGACAGTGGCCTTGGTTCTTAGTGTGAGTGTCCCCTTCTCAGGCATTTAAGAGCGCAAACACACATACGCACAGATTTAAATATGGTTGAGAAGAACAATGTTCTGATACCAAATCTCTGAGGCTTCCTCTCTGTCCCTCGGTGAGAGGAGTGACACATTTGGCCAAGATGGGAGGGTGGGCCTTCCTCCCCTCTGGAGAAGGCTGAGCAACTCTTACATCCTGAACTTTACAAAACATTTTGCTTGAATTGGACGAACATAAAACCAAATAGAAAGATAGAAAGAGAAAAAAAAAAGGAGACTGTTTTGAAACTCATTAAGAGACCTGAAGACCTTAGATTTCTACCAGCTCCTTAAGCTATTAACAGTGTAAATACAAGCAACTTAGTTAACCTCTTTAGTCTCTAATTTCTCATCTGTAAATGGAGGAGGATACAAGGTCGGCCTCCCTCAGAACCTTTGCGGAGGTTTTGCTGATTATAAATGAGGTGCTGCAAGAGAAAGGAATGTGTGTGCTGGGAAGCGCTGCACGAGGATGGATTATTATTCGTGTGTTACCACAGCAACTGAAGGGCATCTCTGAGACAACAGAGCCTCTAACGGAAAAGCGGCGATTAAAACAAAGGCATTGTGGGGGCCGAAGTACACGATGCTGCACTAGCCAGAGCGCCCGAACGCTGAATACTGTGCCCTCCTTATTTTCAATTGAGAAAGTATTACACATATAGTTCAGTGATTCTGAAAATACTGCGAAGCATGGAAACTATTCCTATTTTGAAACGACTCTTAAAGTTTTATTTTCAATTATAAATATATGGAGGGATAGATGTGACATCAAATTTTGCCTTTTAAAGAATTGAGATTGCCCTGTATATTTTGTTTGTAACTGTATTCTTTGTGAATAGGGTGCCATGGCACTTTAAAACATTTATTCTTCTAAAATGTCCTTTTAGTAAATGCACAACATATGTTCATACCTTAGCTTTATTAACAAGCTATTTGAGTGTTTCAGGTCCTGATCCCTTATTGATATATGCTACAACACGGTATACTTTGAATATGCCATAATTTTTACAGAAATCATTTCTTCTATCTTTTTGGTTTCTCCCCAGCATTACTGCTGTATGGTATAGCAAACATCATTTTCTTCTAGCATTGTAGTGACAAGTGCTTTCTCAAGCAGTGGCATTTGAACTGAGGCTGAAATGACCAAAAGAATCCTGGCATGAAGACAGAGAATTCCAGAAAAAGAACCAGCAAGTAGGAAGCCTTTGTAGAAACTTTACTTAAGTGATGAAGCTGCATTACCTCCCCAAGGAAGGTTTGTACTTTATCCTTTGTTCTGGCTACACAGCAGATTAGACTAAGTAATTTCCTTGTTCTGCTCAGGTTGTCATATCTCACTGGGACGCTGTCCCCATAAACCCTTTAGACTACACTGAGGGGTAAGAAGCTGAAGCCAAGAGCATTACGTATTATGTATCTCCCACCTGCCCACATCCACTCCTACAATAATTGTCACATATTATCTTCTCTGGGCCAATAAACTGAACACGTGCAAGGAGATGAAAGTAGTGAAGTTTAACCTAGTAAAGTGACAATTACAAAAATAGATTCCTATCACATAGAATGTACTCAAAAGGATAACATTTTATTTGCTGATGACTAATATTTAATTCACTTGTAGGAATTATGAGGAAGAACAAAAGGGAGAATTTTACAGAACTTGGAGTCAATTAAATCTTTCTAAAAGTAAATTTCTGCTACCAAAGATCCATAGATGTAGAGTAGAAACAGATAACGTTTAGAAAGGAAATATGCCCCTGAATATGCATTATCTCATGGATGGCTCTCCGTGCTTCAGAGTTTCCCTCTTTGCCTGTAGGATGGCTTGGAGGGCTTACAAGAGATTTTAGATACTCCATTCTGCGGTTTCACAGGAAAGCACGTTAGTTTACAGATATTTGTCATATGGACCCCATACTTTCTCATCTCTTCACTATAACACCAGTGCTCTGCTTTTCCAATATTCCAGAAAACAAAGCTCTGAGTATATAACAAAATAGTGCGGTTCTTCAGTTCACAGAGTTAATTCTTTCCATGGCTCTGGTCACAAACTGAATTGGTTGTGAATGGGATCAAATTTAATGTTTGGATTCAATGTTGACCTTATGGGGAAATTCGATTCAGTTCACAACCAATTTAGCTTGCTACCAGAATTATGGAAAGAATTAAATTTGTAAACCAAGGTACCACTGTATACTCTTCACAGTAAAGCCAAAATGCAAAAGTATTTTAATACAACAGTGTATTTTTAAACCAACTGTCAGAGAATTTCTAATGCCTAACCTGTCCGTGTATCACTAATTACAGATGAAAAGGTCATCTAATCTTTTGAGTGTGGGAATGAGCCCAGGTTTGCTAATCAGTTTCCATGTCATTATGAATGACCCCAGCCCATATAAAATAGTGATTTCAGAAAGTCAAAAGGTATCAGAGCTTTGTGTTCCTTGAAAAATCACATGTTGTAATTTTAACTCCCAATGTAGTAGTATTTCGAGGCAGAGCCTCTGAGAAGTACACAGGGTTAGGTGAAGTCATGAGGATGGAGTTTTCATGATGGGATTTTTCCTTTCATAAGCCCTTGCTGTCTTATTTTGCAGGGGCACAAAGACAAAGTTATGTGAGCATGCAGTGAGAGATACAAGCTACCCTTAAACCAAAGAGAAAGTCAGTACCAGAGACATAATATGCTTACACAGTAATATGCTTACACAGCCTCCAGAACTGTGAGAAAATAAATTTCTGCTTTTCCAGCTACCTGGTAATGGCATTTTATCAAGGCAGACCAAGCCAACAAGTACAATCTTCTATTAAGGAAAAATTAAAGAGCCCCCATAGAGTCTAGTTTTCATTATAGAGACTGCCTAAAAGACTTGCTCCACCACTGATGGAAGAAATGAAAGAAATTCTGGCCATTCTATGGAGCTCTCCTAGGAAAGCAAATTCATGGATCATTGTCCAGGGAGCTACCTGTGTTGATTATTTACCTAATTTTCAAAGCATAGACTGTTCTGGGAAGAGTGTTTCTGGGCCACTCTGAATTGAACAGAGCTGGGCTGAGCTGAGCATTGTTTTGAGCCTTAACATTGAGTTTGGTTGACAGACTAGGGGATGCTGAAATTAAAAAAAAATTGTCCCATCCTTGGGGTATTAGAGAGTCTGGGAAGACTTTTTGAGAGTTTTATTCTTTAGATCACACTATAGTAGTCCATTGATCTCTGAATACCTCAAATGAAAAAGGTAATATTGAAATACAATAAGTACAAATTTGAAAGTCTCCATATGAACAAAAACCAACCAACTAATCAACCGTCCAATCATTCAACCAAACAAACAAGAAACACTGGCAGAGAATTTGACTGAATTGTGTTCTAGTGCATGGTGGAAAGTAGAACTTGGAAATAAGGAAGTTGGATATGTAGCTAATGAAACTTTTGAGCAAGGTACAGAAGGCACCACCTAGCTCTCCCTGCTTATTGTAAAGTACAAAAGGATCTAGAGGAAAACCAAATAAAGAATTGTTAAGGGAAGAGGAGCCTACATTTGGTAATTTGAAAGACCTTGAGCCTATTCAGGCAGTGTGCTCTGGAAACAGGGACTCGAACCAAGAGATGATTTCAGCCCCAACACTATACTGGAATTTCTCTGCCAGATTTTAGAGTTACTTGGGATCTATCATCCCTTTTTACCTTCCCATTTCTCCCCTTTGGAGCGAGAAGCTACTCTTTGCATATCTCACCATTGCATTTTGGGAGTTTATTACTTGTCTGGTTTCACAATTTTAAAGATGGTGAGACATTTTTCCCCAGGATAAATCATATCCTCAGCCTCACCCATACTGAATCCAATGATATTTGGGTGTAATTTCTGCACTTAGCTTTTGTTAGTGCTAGAATAAGTTAAGAGCTTTAGGAAGGTTTGGACGAAGAGGGCATATTTTGTATACAGGAAGGGCATAACTTTTGGGACAGTCATAGATCAGTGTGTTATGGGTTAAATTGTGCCTACCCCCAAAATCACCAGTGTGTTTAAATCCTAATGCTCAGTGCTTTACAATATACCTGTATTTGGAGAAACGGTCTTTACAGTAAGAATCAGGTTAAAATGCAGTCCTTAGGGTGGGCTGTAATTCAAAATGACCAGCATCCTTAAAGAGAGGGAAAGAGTGTTGCATAGGCATGGAGACTGGCACACATAGAGAGAACATGAGATATTCAGAGACATAAGGAAAAGGTGATCATCTACAAGTCAAAGGTGATGTCTTTCTCATCTTTCAGAAAGAAACAATGCTGCTGAATTTGCTGGTTTCTGTGATTTTAGAATTTCCATGCTGAGTTTTCATGATTGTATACACACAAGAGTATAGATTTTTGATGATTAAGCCCTCCAGCCTGCAGGACTTTATTATGGAAGTGCTATCGAATGAATACTGTATAGAACTGAGATCCCTTTGTTCCTCCACAGTTAGTAGTGAAGCTTAGAAAACGCCTTATGAAATGATTAAATACTTAGTATGTGAAGCACTATACCAACATCTAAAGAAGCTAAAACCAAAACCTCAGTCCATATTTCAGGATTATAATTTGGAAAAACCCATGCATTGATCAGCTTTCCTACGTCACTATATCTGACACCCACAACTTAAAGAAGAAAAGGTTTGGTTTGGCTCATGTTTTAAGGCAGTTCAGTACATGGTCAGCTGACTTCCATGCAGAAACATCGCAGTGGACAGGTGTGGTGGATCCAAGCTACTTAGTTCACAGAAGCCCAGAAGCAGAGAAGAGGAATAGCAACAGAAAGGAAGGGATGAAGGATCAAATTGTGGACCCAAGGACATGCTTCAGTGACTTACCAGACACACCCAGAAGTGTGCCCTACCCACCCCTTGGGTGGTTCCCTAGACAATCAAGTTGACACAATCAAGTTTAACCACCACAATCATATTTTTAAATGTCTGAAAAATAACAGAAAAATGAATTTTTGAGCTGAATAATTCATATATTTAAATTAGAAAACTTTTAAGATATGTGATTGTTTCTCTGTGTGACCATACTGCCACCTCTAGCAACACTCTTATTACAAATTGTAAAGTTACTATTCAAAGAGATAGCAAGAAATAAAAGCAACTGACCTTCTCTTAGCAAGTGCAACATATCATTGTCTGCTTTACTATTGTATATAGAGCTGAACTTGTTTCATTTTTAGCATAAATGCATACATTTTGAATTTACTCATTTTATACTTTTGGTTATTTATTCATTAAATATAAGCTCCTGTGATGAGTTTTATTTAACTGAAGAAAGCTACCTGGTGATAATCTGTATTTCCTGTGTTTTGAAGTATTTTGAGACTTTTTTTCCTAAGTATCACGTAATTGCAATATATTTAGTATTTTGAACTCCAAATTCTTTGATCTAAAATTTACATATTTTCTTCTATTGTGTATAGATAGGTTTTACAAAGACTTTATTAAATGTTCTTTGATCTTATTCATGGAGTTATACACATACTACAATATTGTAGTTCTGTCGTTTTTCAAAATAAGTGACTGTATTTGAAGACAATATAACTGGCTAATGTAATATAACATATAATGTTATAAATAAACACAGTTTGATAAATTCTGTTATTAATGATGGGAATAGTTCATGTAGACAATCCATGTATCAGGGTAAGACTACAGCTTTTACACTTATTGGCCAATAAATTTAAGAGTGTAGTAATGTAGGAAGAAATAATGGTGATGACAGAGCTTCATAAATTCATGAAAATATAATTATACAATGAGAGTAGGGACAAAAGTCATTAGTGTGGCATTTTCACAAGTCAAGCAGTGATGAGTTTTGTATATTGACCTGTGTGGGTCAAGTTCGGCTGCTGGAAAGAATGGGACATCAGTTGTGTAGGAAAGTAATGGAGAAGGATGAACTGTGTAACCACCTGGCCACTAGTTTTCTGTCTTCATAGGTGTGAGGGCCTAAAATTAAGGGAGTTGGAAGCTCCTTGTACATCCAATTCCTGTACTTTATAAATCACTATTTTGCCAGGGAGATATATCTCGTATATGAGGTAGACCAAGCTCTTGTCAAGTTCTATATTTTTTTTCATCTACTTGGGAGAAGGTACTTCAGCTGGGCAGAGGTACAGGGACATGGGTTTATCTTTTAAGGAGAAAGGATGGTAGAAATGAATTAATGTGTTGATGTTCTGGAATAGTTTTATATTTAAAAGTGTGATTGTTGAATGTATAATATTTTCTTACTGTTGCATTCATTTGCAGATATTGAACTGAATATAATCCAAACTGGTAGACCCTCTGAAGAAAACCACACTTATACTGGTCACAGTAATCTGAAGCTGTAAAAGGTAAACAATGCATGTTGCATTGCTAACGAAGAGTTACCTAGTGAAGAATGTGTGTGTCCTCTTTGATATTAAATGCTCTACTTTTACTTTTTTCCTTGCTTGATATGTTATAGGCATAATTTTTACTCCATTCCTTCACTCATTCATTTAATATGTATTTTATGTATGCAAAAAAGCAGAAGAGAGAATCAAGAGCTAAAAGATAATATTGATATTTGATGTAAGATGTACTAAGTATGTTCTGAGAGACTGAGTGAATATGTATTGGTAAGTGGAGGACAAAGATCTCGCGTGTGGGTCCACCTGTCTTATTGCCTTGGAAATACGTCCAATGCTCAGCATGGAATATAGTGTGCTATTACGATAGGGTGACTGACACAGGAGAGCACTGCACACCACTGCAATGGAAAGGAGCCACTCATGACACCGAGAGACCTCTCCTATGAGATGCAGAGTTTGTCAGCTGTGCTTAGCAGTACAAAATCAATACATTATCTAGGAGTGACATCAAGGATGAGATAGCACTACTATGGTAAGCCTGATATGACAATGTATTTATTCCTCTCCGCTATTCACAGGAAATCATATATATAATAAAAATATGGGACATGAAGTTAAATTTGGATTTTAGATTAGTAACCAAGCAGTGAATGAATGAAAATCTTCTGAAGAGTTAACCCCCCAACCGGCTTGCGTATAGAAGTGAGTCCCGCCTAAGCCCATTTGCCAACGTCAAAGTAACTTGCACCCAAATTTTTTTTCCAACACTAACATTTTCTCAACTAGAAGGACAATATCACAATTACAACCTCATATTTTGTCTACTCTGTTCCTAGTCGAGAATGCTTTGTTTGTCCTTTATGAGGCTTGCTTGCACTACTTTCCATAGAAACCACAGGACTGCACACCCTTGCACCTACTCCAGCTCTTGCACGTAGCTCACCTTTAACCCCATCGATTACTGATAAAAATCAGTGGCTTGGACCGGCCAGCGCCTTTGTCAGTTGCACCAGCATTGGTGGTCCTGGTGCCCTGCTTTCTGTCTGTCTTAGTTCTGTCTTTTAGTGTTTGTTTTTTCCTAAATTGTTATGGCCTGTGTCATACACTGACCATGGGACTGAAGCCCGCTGCAGAGGCTTCCAGTAACATTTCAGGGTTCCCCAGTAGTACATTTCAATAGACAATGAATACTACAAATAACTCTGACAGTGATAACCCAGAGATGGGCACATCCTCCAAGGGGAAAAGCTTTTCTTAAAATGTAAAGAAGAGGGAAACTATAATTTGAAAGTACCTTCCTCCACGCGATTTATGTAGGATATATAGTTCCCCGAAGGATTATATCCAGTGTGCATACTCATTTATTCCAAAAAGAACTACTGTCCTGAGGAAATCCAGGCAGTGTGTGCTCTTAGTGATTCTTCTTGTGGGCCTCTTGCTTGGAGGCCAGCAGTAATAATACCAATGTCATATTAACTTGGATTATGTGGCCACCCTGTTTACTCCTTCTGATGTTTCTCCCGAGGCAGCTATTACCTTATATATATATATCTAAAATGAAAAGGATCACACTATGATACGTAATTTTTATTTTCCCTCCCCTCTCCTCCCTCCCATCTCTGTTCCTATCTCCAGATTCCCAGAAAGTCTATCTCCCTGTGTATTATGAAGATAATAGGTTATCTGTATTTTATTTTGTTCTCCAATTATTTATACTTTGGGTTCTTAGCAGAGAGACCGTGTGATATTTAAACTTGTGGGTCTGATTTATTTTGCTTGTCTATTATAGGCACAAAATGCATCTGTTTTCCCACAAGGACTCACATTTCCCCTTTCTTTTTGCTGAGCAGTGCTCAGACCACAGTTTCGACGTTTATCCATCTGCTGATGAGCGTACAGGCCGCCTCCATAAGTTAGCTAGTTTGGATTGTGCTGCTATACATTGGTTAGTCACATATTAATGTGATATGATGTATTTAACTCAAATGCATTTACAGACATTTTATAGACAAAAGAGGTATAACTGGGTAAAATGGAATTTCAAATGAGTTTTTACACAGATGATCTCCACAAACTATGGAGGCCTGATCATTATTATTGCTATTTTATAAACAGGAACACGAAATCTCAAAAAGAAGGAATATTTTTTCTCCATAATATGGGCAGATGTTAACTCATATGACTCAACAAATAAATGTTTTTTAGCACACCACACTATCATTAATATCAGCTTTTCGTTTCCAGACATATGAGCTAGAAAACTGAAAAGGGAAGAGATTCTTCTCTTTTATGTTTGAGTGAGTGGTAAAAAGACCTTTCCACCTCCATCACACCAAGTTTGAAAATGGTAAAATCAATTAAAGATACTTATTCTACCTGTTCGTTTTTAAAGATGCTGTTTCATCAAAGGAGCAAGATCAGAACACTATACCACAGGAAAAAAACCCTCAAATATGAAAGTGTGTTTTGCCTCAACATCATTAATGACTTACCTACTGGTGCTAATGAAGGAAAGTTAAAAGCACACTGTTTTATCAGAATATCTTACTTATTCATGCCTTGACAGGCTTGATAGAGTGTACTTTATAATTTACTCCTTCTATCCATCAAGGGAGCATACTGGATGAAATGCATCATTAAAACACTTACTTTAAATATTTTTCTATGTCATCAGAAGGCAAAGACCTAAAGCCCATGATAAATAGGGATAATGAGTAATAACAGTTGTGAAAGTGGTACAGTAGAGGTCACAAGGGAAGACTCAGAACATCACAGTCAAAATGAAGTAGGTTGTGGAGCCAGAAAGACCAGGCGAGGTTCCTGAATTTTGTTTCTTGGGGTCACTGTCTGGAATATTATTCTAATTCTGTGTCATAGTTACAATCATTTGAGATTTTTATTTTGTATTAGTTTATGGCCACTCTTCTTCCAATGATGTGAAAGCTCCATTGAGAACAATAGTTCAGGACCTACACATTTCATAGCACACAGCAGAGGAATGACTGAATGTGTAAATGAATTATTAAAGTTTGCAGAGAGCAATTGCTTGATACTGGGCTTTTCTTGTTGCTCAGGGTTTGCATTTGTAAAATAGCACTAGATAATGACTTTTTCAAAGATTTATGTTGAGTTTTAAGTTTTAAATCATACTGCCTGGTGACAGCAAGCGTGCAAGGGGCCAAGAAGTGGCAGCTGTTTGAATAATTGTGGTCCACTCATCTTCACGGGTGATGTACATTCCTCTTCATTGTTGAGTTTGTCAATCATTGTAGCCAAAAACGTGCACCACACCTGAACAGAAGCTTTGCTGCCCACAGTCTTCTCTCTGCCACGAGACGGTGACTGTTTTAGATTACGGTCATCTCTTCAGTCGGGGTCCAACCCTAAGCTCATACAGAACAGACCCCGACCCAATCAGATAACTCATAACAGGCACAACATCAGACTGTCCCTCACCTAGTGATGTCTTTTTTCTCCCTCCCTTCCTTCCTCCTTCTTCCGTTCTTTCTTTCTTCCTTTTTTTTTTGGATTTTTGAGACAGGGTCTCACTATGTAATTCAGACTGACCTGGAACTCACTATGAAGCCCAGGTTGCTCTCAAACTCACAGTGAACCTCCTGCCTCAGCCTCTCAAGTACCACTACACCTGGCCCATAGTGATGTCTTTTTAAAAATTTAGTTCATTTGCCCTTGTTTGCAGTTCAGGTACTTTACACTCTTCTTGAGGAGTGAGTGGTTTCTTGTACGTATCATAGCATATTTCTCTCTTTTAAAAATCCTCATCACCTCCCTCTCTGTCCCCTTTTAGTAATATCTTGATTTAAGGTTTTCTTTTTCAGATTTATGATATCATAAAGGAGTTAGACATTCAGCACCACTGAGTTTGAAGCCCTCCTTTGCATTGTGACGTTATCCTCCATTCGGAGGGGTCTGGTCTGATACTGTCTGACGTTGTAGGGTAGCGGTGGTGAGCAGCAGCTCCCAGTCAGCTGCAAACTCAGAAGGGTGAGCAGTTGACACCCCTCAGGGAGCACATGTTTCTATGCTATGATGCAGGTAGTTAGGTGTGAGGTGGTAAATGCATACTGAACTTACAATATTTCCAATTCCCAGTGAATATTGAAAAGGAACCCCTTTACATGTCAAGGGACATTTCCACTTGTTACTGAAAGCCACTGAGATTTCAGAGTTGCTGTGCAGGATAGGCTACTGAATGCTGACTATCAGAACATTTATGAGATGTAGAATGAGCTGAAAATATTTCTCAAACAGTGAATGTTTGGTAGTGGACAGGCAGATGAATTTTAGCTGATGAAGGCAAATAGACAATGCTTTCTTGTCATAAAAATGTCAACGCATCAGCATCTACGTGGTTTCATTGTCTTTAATCTTAGAGTCTTCTCCTCGCTCCTGCCCTATTCAGTCCACTAACCATGGATGCCCAGATCAGATCACTGGGTAGTTCTCCAGACCAAGCACTTCATGAGCCTTGGTCACAACTTCAGTCAGGTTTGTTACGGACTTTGTGCTCCTGGCACATGGAATTACGTGACTCCGTTCCCTGAAATGGTTCTGCCACTTCCTGCTTCACAAAACTCATACAGATGCCTCTCACAAGTCTTTCTGCACAAAAAAACCACATTTCCCACGTTTTTTATTATATTTATTTAGGCACCGGGTATTGAACCTCAGTCTTTGAGCTTCCGAGGAAGGCAGTGGAACCAGTGAGCGAAATCCCCACCCCTTCCCATCTTTTACATATGGAGTCCTCCCCAGTTTTAACAGTTTACATCAAGAGCTGGATCTTCTGCTATCATCAGCACAGTACCATGTTTAGGACATTGCCTTTATTTAAACTCTTAGTATCCTTGATGATTTATGAAATGCCTGGCATATAATATATGCCCAACAAATATACGTTATAATGAGTTGAATTCACAGATTAATTCAAAGACGACTATGGAATGAAGCAAAATCTTGCCTGTTCCAAACATGATATGCATCATAAAATGTTGATGTATTAAGTGAGAACAGATCTTTGGATAAAGGAAGAGTCACGCGGAGGCATTCTGAAACCTAAAATGTAGCTGTCTTTCTCATTCATTTTAATAACATAGTTTTAACACCATGCATCAAATTCTGTTTGCTTTTTCCAGGTCTCCAGTTGATATGCCTTTGGCCAGCATTACAAGACAAGACCTTGACAGGTTTAAAAACAACAACAACAACAAAACAAAAAAGAAAAAAAAAAAGATGAAAAATATCTATGTTTAATGTCCTTTGAAAATCACAGTAACATTTTACTTTATGCATCTCATAAGATTGGTATTAGCCCATAATAAATTGGGATGGAATTTGCTATACTTATTACTAAAAGAAGGAGCACCACCTCATGTTTTAACATATTCTCCAAGAAGACACAAGCAAGTACAAGGTTTTTTAAAAATTGAGTATCTGTATACATTAAAAAATAGCTACCCACGATTCCTGCTGAACCTATGAGAGACTGGAAGTTTTACGCATCATTTTCTGACTTTACACTTTCCTCTCATGGACAAGAATAGTATCCATGTCATGAAGAAGAAAACAGAAGACATTAATGTTACATTTTCGAAAGATATGTTAAGAAAAAACAAATCTCCACAATGTGTGAAAAAAATAAAAACTTCATCTCTCGTGCTATGTGCGGTTTTATTTTAGAGGACCTTTTTTCAGTTAGGTTTATAAATGCTTATGCACTTATAACATATGATGTTTTGCTTATAGAATTTGGAAAAGATATTAATTTCCCATTTTGCTTCTTTGTGTCCTCAGTAGGAGAAATGCATTTTATTTTGATGCCAACAAGGAAGGCCTACTTGACTCCCACAAATAAATGAAATGCTGAATAGGGCCATCAATAATTCACGTGCACTGTGTTGAAGGCAATGATTGCTTGGCTGTATAAAATGATTTTGCTTCAGTGCAGAACCAGTGAATTGTTCCTCATTGGTCTCTTTCATTCCTTCCTGTGTGTGTCCTTAACATATGAGATGCTCTTTGTTTCTGCGAGGGCTATCTTAATTTCAGGTAAAGAAAAATCATATATTCAGTTTTGTCTTACTGGAAGCTAAACAATTGTTAAAATTTATGAAACATTATGAAGTATAAAAAGAATTATGTAAATACTGTGTTATTTAGAGAACCTTCTTCTGAAACCTTTTGTCAATCACGATATAGAGATCTAGGTAATCTCACACTGAGTTGCATCATCTTTGCAGTGGCAAATCAAACATTAAGATGATTGGGCTGGCTATTATTATGATTCATTTTTCTATAATGCTTTGCTCAATGTCTTACAGTAACTAACAGTCTTTAGTTTTAAAAGATTCTGAATGGATATGAAGTTTCAAGGGAATCTGCAGTTCTAAATACCACTTTGGTAAAAGTTCTGGAAGCTACTCAGACCTCCTTCCTGCCCCAAATAGTCTTGATTAAGTGAACAGAAGCTGGAAATTCACCATACCTCTTGTTTCAAGGGAGACATGTTCTTGTAAGTGTACCATGATCAGATGGCCAATAGACACTTTGGGCAGTGAAAGAGGAAATAAAATCTGTTCAAGGAAGGAAAAGCCAAGAATTGAAATGTTCCCAGGAATTACAGCTCAGCTCTAATATTGCATATAGGATTATTCCACAGAAGGAATTTTGCAAGTCACTTGTGGTAGACAGAGAATGGTTGGGAGAACACTGATGTACAGGATGTTTCCATTCTGTTCTATAAATTTGCATTAGAGATTCAGGGTAACATAAATAATGCATGATAAGTTCTATCAAAAGAATTTCCAGCTCAAGCGAGTATACACAGGAAGCTGTGTGTAAGGCCAAGTTTAACAGGATTTGGTAATGGCCTGGTTGGCCTCATTCACACCCATAGAAACTCTAGGGTTTTTTCATTTGTCAAAGGTTAATGGACAAGCAAGAGAAGTGAATGTGATTTAAATTTAAAGCTGTTTTTCTATGTGATGATGCCAATGCTACCAAGATACCACTAGACTCTTCCACGTTGCTCCATAAAGAAAATAACAAAGGGCTTTTATTGATCCACAACTAATGCATGACCCCTACCACATCAACATCCTTTCTTCAAGTGATAACTGGATGGTGGAGAGAAAAAAGATTCTGCTTCGAGGGAGAGGATGTATCACATGGGAAAGTGGTGGAGGATTAACATAGATCAAGGACTTTTCCCTAAGTCAGGATCCACGCTAAGAGTTTGATACATTATCTCAAGAAGCTTGATACAGAGGGATTATGTCCGCATACTAGATAAATATTTCACAAGGGTTAGACGATCACAAACCTTCGTGGCTTTCTGCAAAGTGTCTGCATCTGATTTCATTTTCCTTTCTCTACACCACACTGTTATGTGATAGAAACTATGAATTTTGAGGTCTGTTTGTGAGAAGTCACTCTGGAGCAAACAACATTGCTTGAATCAGAAGGAAAAAGTAAAACTTTGCATCGCTCAGCAGTCAGCGCTGCTTAACAAGGTGTAAGATGTAGGCACCGACAGGGTGAATGCCTATATCAAGGATGCAGAAAGAGGTCTGCAGAACAGCTGAACCATAGCAAGGCCTCCAAGATGGCACAGTTTATGTGAGTGGGTTGGTTTGCACTGCCTTAAAAACCGTGGAAGCATTGGAGAGATCTTATTTCTTTAAACATGCTTTACAGTTGTCTTGATTCTTAGCTTGGCAAATGGAAAAACTGAAAATCCACTTGAGTTTCTGCCCCCCGCATCTGTTTTCTCACCTTTTCCATTCCTTCCAGTGGTAAAAGTATTATTTCTTGTGCGTCTGTGTGCTGATTAACTGTACCTGCTGCTCCTGCTAGATCTGTTCTTCGCCTTATGCTGCTCTGCATGGTGCCAATGGGAGCCCAGGTAGGGCACACACATGACTTCTGAAGATGGCATCATTCTTGGGCTTCTTATAGGGTTTGGCCAAAGATTTCCATCAATACGAAGTCCCAAAGTCTCTTGCCCTACCCACTTCCTTCCTTTCTATCTGTCTCTCTTCCTTTCTTTCTCTTTCTTCCATCTTTCTCTCCTTCCTCCCTCCCCCTTCCTCCCTCTTCTCTCTCTCTCTCTCTCTCTCTCTCTCTCTCTCTCTCTCTCTTCCTCTTGGCCTAACAACCCCACTTCTATGGAAGTATATTTTATTCTAGTCTCTAGCTCCCACTGGTGGATCTTCCTAAAAAGTCTTAGTATCGAAGAGCCTCCAACCCATGTTAACCATACTGCATTTTAATCTCTGGTGGTGATTGCTTCTGACTGTTGCTGGTCTTTTGTTTCTTTCTCCACTGCTCCCTAAACCCTGCTCTTACTTTATAAATACTTGTGCCCTTAAAGTTTGATTCTTTGAGCTATATGAAAAAGATTCTGCTCCCTGCAGGGCTCTGACAAGTACTGTTAGGCAGTTAGGTTGGGGTGTTAACTTGATTAGCTTCGGGATCAACCTGGGGATTGGTGTTGCACTTTTCCCAGTATGTCTGGGGGTTATGAAAGGTTGTCTTGAGATCTATGTCTGGTCTCTTGCCTCTTCCTCACTGGCACATTTTCCCTAGCTGCCATGAAATAAGTTTCTTTTTTTATGCTTAGTCCATACACCATGCTGTCTCTGCCTTGAAACAAGCTGAGCATAGACAATATTCCTTTAAAATATGAGCCAAATTAAACTCTAACTTTTTAACTTCTGGGTGTTGGGTATTGTGTCTAGCAGTGGGAAAGATGAATAATATGTAAAATTTTGTGAGAATTTAGGTTGTTTCTGTGACTATACTTGGCCATGTAGTTTAAAAGCCTTTGGAAAACATGGGTTTTGCAGGCTGGATCAGCCAGATTTATAATGAGAACCTGGGACAAAACGTATAGCACAAAAATTGGAAAAACTTACATTTTAGCAGGGAGGAAACTATGTGTAAATTTGGGACCAAAAACTGGTGTTATTGCTGCAGAGATTAGTGTCACAGAAAAGGTGAATTTACAGGGAGAGAGAGTAAGATAGAAAAGAAGGGGATTAGAAATTAAAAAAAAAAAACAAAAAAAAAAAAAAACCAAGCTGTATTATGTGTCTGTACTCACTCCCAAAGGTGATTTTAAATTTCATGGGTTGCAAACATGTACTAAAAAAAGGACTAGGTCTATAAAGAAAAAGAATTAAATCAAGTACTTTGTCCATGGGCAAGAAGATGCCTTGAGCAAGTCCCCACCATTGCAGGCTCAAGATTATAGAGCCTTTGGGTCCCCCTGCTCTGAAAGGGCTTCTAGGGAAATGGTTTCCCAGGATCCATCTTCCTGGATTGAGTCACCCAAACATTCAGATGGTGCTACAGACACTGTTCAAGGGGGACCTGATGATTTTTCACATTGACAGCACTCAACACTGTACAACTGTACAACACTGATGCTGTTTTATGGGCAACGAGAATGCAAGAATCATGGGGTCAAGAAGGCTTCAATTCAGATTTCAAAGGAAGCTGAGAGGCCAGGCAAAGAGCTTCTCAGAAGGAAGAGTATGAAGCTGTAGGCGCAGTGCAGACCCCAGGAATTCAGAGTTGCCGGGAATGTGAAATGTCTGCTGAGGAAAGCAGGAAGCCATGAGTGGAGCCAGCCTAAGGGAGAGGCCATGTGGCCTGCAACAAGCAAGGAGATTGTGCAGGGGCCACCCAGACTCTCTGCAATTCACATCTTAGCAACATATGTCCCAGATGCTGCTCATAGAGCTATTGGAATTCATATTTGTCCTGCCTGGTTTCAGCCTTACTGTGGTCCTATTACTTGTTTCTATTACCTCTACGTTTGGGTATGAAGGTGACAATGGTGGGATGTGGCAAAGTGCACTGGCTTTAAGATCTGCCCCAGGGATTGGTGGAATATATTAGTTGTGCTTGGCCTTGGAGTTTGTGCCTGATTCCTCATCCATTCCTCCCTGTCGCTGTTCGTCTGCTCTGCTACCTGGCTCTCAGGAACTAAGCATCTTTGTTCCACCATGCCTTACTCCATGATAGTCTGCCTTGGGGAAAGCTGACCGTGAACTGAATCTCCTCACAATGAGAGCCAAATTAAATCTTACCTCTTTAACACAGGGTATCAGGTCCTGCATTTAACAATGGAAAATATGACTAATGTACTCATAATGCTAGTAATCGTTCCATCCTTGTTAGAAGTGTCCTGCAAAGTTTATGCTTTCTCTGCTTATCTGTGCCTTCGGTTGCAAAGGAGCATGCTCCAGTGAAGACAAGCTGATCTGGAGCTACTTTTCCTAGCTTAAGACAGAACTTCAGTCTGAGCGTTCACTGTTGTTAAGGAATACAGTCACCACAGGTCTAACAAAGTGATATCAAAAGTCTTGTTTTATTTTATAATTAATTTTGTAGTTTAAGAAAAAAAAGAAATAGGATATTGCTTAAATCCTTCAAAACTCAGCAGTTTTCATGTCATGTTTCTAACTTGAGGAGTTAGAAACTGGTATGTGGATGAAGACAGGAATGTTTTTAAACAGAAGGTCTCCTCTTGAAGTATTATTATTTGGTAAGGGAAAGAAT